AGTATTTCTAATGGGGGAAAATAACTTTACCCATTGATTAGCCTGTGATTGGCCTTGTGAAAAAGCACGTGCAGTGAAGGTGAAATAAGGCACATGCAATGGAAGTGCAAAACGCTAATAATATACTCGTACTCACAAAGAGCACAGAATAATCGCTGACATGCTAACTGAAGAGCAAACACACCTCTCTCAGACGGCAGGAGGAAGTCCTAATTGACAATTCACCTTCATTTCAAAGACATTTCTGTCACAACAACAATGCTCAACACCTGGCTCCCCAACAAGTCCAACATATCCCCTCTGGTGAAGCACATGAGTTTCTTAGCTCTTGGTCTACGGGGTCAGTTGATGAACTCACTCTCTAGTAGGTCATCTTCTTTCCTTCGAATTGGACTATATTTTTGCTTATAATCATTAGCCCTTTTTCTGACAGACGACTTTGTACTCCTCCCTTAGCTATTCTGCGATGTCTGATCCGGCCCACCTGGTTACTTTATTGAAGGCACCACATGTTGGGGAACCACTCTTGCATGAGAGAGGACTATACTCCGAGTCGTTGCTCTGCTGACAGACAAAGCCAGGTCGTGTGGCAGCCATGCCTACGGATACACGACACCTTCCAAAACATGACAGCAAACGTCTGCCTTCATCGCTACCTCAGTCGTGTAGCGTGGTCCCACTTTTTTCCAAGGCAACCTTATCAAGCCTCCGCCAAGTTTCACAATTGGCAGCTGATTCTTTGGATCAAAACGTTCCCTCTCGTGGTGCCGTACATTACTAGTATCCTTGCTGTCATGCATCAGTAATATGTTTTTGTCATTCCAGATGACCTTAGAAACCTGTATCAACCTTCGTTTCAGACCTTGTCAATCACACTCTACTTCCGCTCATTTCACAGGGGCGCTCCACTTCTCTTCTCGCTCTTCTCTCTCTAGCTCTTCAAAAGTTGATGAAACATAGTATATAATTAGATTCTAGAAGGTGTTATGTATCCGTAGACATGGCTGCCACACGACCTGCTTTGTCTGTCAGCAGAGCAGCGACTCAAAGCATCGGGCCTCTCACATGCAGGAGTGGTTTCGACAGCATGGGGTGCTTTTAAAAGACCAGCCAGGCCAGACTCTTGAGCCAAACATTACAGAACCACTAAGGAGGAGTAGCAAAAACATTCGAAAAAAGAGCCTCGGATATGAGCAAAAATCTTGTCCTATTCGAAGGGAAATTGATGATGATGCCTCAAGGAGTGTGCTCATTAGTTGGCTCATATTTGGGCTTAGGTAATGTATCAACACTTTATAGAATTTTCGCTATTGTGTGAGACTTGCCCAAAATTACTGGCTGTGTAGTTGATTAATCTATCATATAGGTTATTTTATTTAAATAAACTGACTACGTGTTTTTTCGACTGTCGTCAACAAATTCGAAAAATCTATAACTTTTTTAGCCCCGTTGGAACCAAAGGATCATATTTTTTGTGAGGGTGTGAGGGTTGGAGGATCCTTACTCAATAATTGATGCAAGTTTGGAGACGATCCAGTGACTTTCGGAAGAAAAACGTCAAAACTCGTCTGTTAATTGATTTTTGGAAAATGATGTACCATCTTGAGTGACCAAATGACCTCATGAAATTGTGCCTCTTCAAGAGAAGTATGTCGCTTGCGATACGTCAATACAAGACCTTCGGTAATTGCAACAGAGCATCATGAAATCTTATAGAAATAAACAGCGTTCCAGAGATTTATTCACTTTACAGCCTTTTTCATCGCGAACACATTACCCTGAAATGAATGTTAGCCCTGCCGTTGATAGCAAGGTCCCTAAAGAGCGAGGGCCTTGAGAAGTTCGCAGACTCTAATTTCATTATCACCAGCCTGCTCGTTCGCCCCATTCTTCTCGCCTCCGAAGGTTAATGAGACTCACTAGGTACTCTCACTCCGCCCTCTGCAGCTCGCCTCCCCCGAACAAGGCTAGCTGGAAGCAGAATAGCCCGAAACGACTATCCACTCACAATGCTCCTCCCTTTACTCCACCTTTTTTCGCTTTTTGCGAAGTTCAATAGGAAATTTGTAACATACTGAGTCTTCTACAGCTTCACATAACGCTAGACCGCAGACGTTTTGGTATATGAAGAAAGAAGAATCTTATTCTGCATTTTTATATCCAGCTAAAGAGATGCCCAGATTTTTGCCTTATTGAAGTGTCTGTGACCAAAATTCACTTGATACAAAAATAATTCGTGAAGGAAATCGTATCCTTCGCTTATATTGTTTCATCACATGAGGATAAGCACGCGACGTGCTGCTTCTGTGCTTTTTAGTTATCGGTTTAGATTCTTAGACGTCGTCAGCATCAGAACTCGCTGGCTTGCCGTTTTGCTCCATGAACGCCTGCTCTCGCCGAAGACACCCTTGAGAAAGGACCCCGAGGGTCCGACAAGAAGTACGTGACTATGTAAGCACAGGTTCAATTGATCTATAGTCTTCACGGTTTTGGTCCCTGGAAGCTCTGGGATTTGGAAATTCTTTGCGGCATTTTCCTACTCTTTATGAAGGAATTATGAAAGAAATCCTACATATTTCAGTTCGTCAGCAAAGTGTAAGGATTCTATCCCACCTATCTGCTCTCTCAACCTTATGTTGGTATGAAAGCCTTGAAGGTGAATTCTAGAATTCTGCCATTTCACTTCTAAAAAGGCGGAATTCATTCTCCGCCATATTTCAGAAGCTAAGTCAGAGATTTTCGAAGCATCTCCTCCTAACAAACACCGCTATTAGCTTCACTCAAATTGGTACTGCTGACGTCATGCAGCAACTATTTCAAGGTGATATTCAACGAAAAGGTTGGGATTATTCGCGAACAGGTCAGTCACTGAGAGTTCTTCCTACAATTCCCACACTTTGCGATTTTGAACGCGCAGTTGAATCGCAGCGACAAGAGCAGTGTTAGCGCATGTACAGGCTTGGGATCGTTCTTTGCGAGCAATCTTTTCGTTTCTAAGGAGTCACCTATATGGCAAGTATTACTCTGGAAGAGCAGAAGCGTAACGCCATCTCACAGCTCTAGTCAGCATTCAAAAGTCTTGCAGGGTTCTGAACTAATGGATTGTATGTAGGTACATAAAGAGCATTATATTTCGTCACTTTAGGTTTAAGGCCAGCGAAATATTATTAAAAACCTAAGTATTATTTTCATTTCGGGTCTCACCTTTTTCGCTTTTTGCGAAGTTCAATAGGAAATTTGTAACATACTGAGTCTCCTACAGCTTCACATAACGCTAGACCGCAGACGTTTTGGTATATGAAGAAAGAAGAATCTTATTCTGCATTTTTATATCCAGCTAAAGAGATGCCCAGATTTTTGCCTTATTGAAGTGTCTGTGACCAAAATTCACTTGATACAAAAATAATTCGTGAAGGAAATCCGTTATCCTTCGCTTATATTGTTTCATCACATGAGGATAAGCACGCGACGTGCTGCTTCTGTGCTTTTTAGTTATCGGTTTAGATTCTTAGACGTCGTCAGCATCAGAACTCGCTGGCTTGCCGTTTTGCTCCATGAACGCCTGCTCTCGCCGAAGACACCCTTGAGAAAGGACCCCGAGGGTCCGACAAGAAGTACGTGACTATGTAAGCACAGGTTCAATTGATCTATAGTCTTCACGGTTTTGGTCCCATGACAGCTGAATCTGCGATTCTTTGGAATTCACTGTTACTCTTTTATGAAGCGAAATTTTGAAAGAAATCCACATATTTCAGTTCGTCAGCAAAGTGTAAGGATTCTATCCCACCTATCTGCTCTCTCAACCTTATGTTGGTATGAAAGCCTTGAAGGTGAAATTCTAGAAATTCTGCCATTTCACTTCTAAAAAGGCGGAATTCATTCTCCGCCATATTTCAGAAGCTAAGTCAGAGATTTTCGAAGCATCTCCTCCTAACAAACACCGCTATTAGCTTCACTCAAATTGGTACTGCTGACGTCATGCAGCAACTATTTCAAGGTGATATTCAACGAAAAGGTTGGGATTATTCGCGAACAGGTCAGTCACTGAGAGTTCTTCTTACAATTCCCACACTTTGCGATTTTGAGCGCGCAGTTGAATCGCAGCGACAAAGTAAGCAGTTGTTAGCGCATGTACAGGGCTTGGGAATCAGCTGTTCTTGCGAAGCACTATTGTTCTAAGGAGTCACCTATATGGCAAGTATTACTCTGGAAGAGCAGAAGCATAACGCCATCTCACAGCTCTAGTCAGCATTCAAAAGTCTTGCAGGGTTCTGGAACTAATGGCATTGTATGGACGTAAATTAAAGAGCATATATCGTCCATTTCATCACTTTTAGTTTAGCGCCAACCGAAAAGATATATTAAAACTTATGTATATTCTTCATTTTGGGCCAAAACTACTTTTGTAATAAAATAGAGGGCTTTATCAAATAGCTGATTTAAGTTCCCATAAAAGACACCACCACTTTAAGAATTTCTGCCATAATTGAATTTCGACTCGAATTCAAAAGTGCTTGCGATAGAAGACGTTTGTCGTCATCGCGTTTATGCAGAAGAGGAGCATTTGAGAGCTAATTAGTTAGATTAGATGCTTCAATTCCGCTGGGAAATCTTGCAGATTTTCTGTTAGTGTAATCGAGTTTGAAGAGTGTTTTCCATGTTGTTGGACAACTAATACTGATTAAAAATCAATGGACAGGAACTCATCGACCGCATTTCCTATTTTGAGAAACGTAAAGTCAAGTTGCTATCTGAAGCTATTTAGAGGTTCACTAATGTAGTAGACCAGACCTCCGTATGCTATTCCTCTAAAAGAAGGCAAATCTTTTCAAAGTTTAGAAATGTCAAAGGAGACTTATAAGTTCTATGACCTTACCTACGACGAATTCCGAATTCCACTGAGAGCCCTCGATCTTGATGGTACAAGACCGTTCAATGTTGTGTTATCGTTCTTAATAGTGTAATTAGCTTCTAAAACAGCGTCTTGAAGACGCGTACTTGATGCGCAATTTTGGATAGGTGGTAAAAGTTGAAGAGGAGGAACTCTG